GATGTAGAGATCAGCGTACTCTCTCGAACGACGTGCTCTTTCGCCTATTTTGTCTTCTTTGACTGCCCTGTCTCATCATCGTACCACATTCGACCTTGAACCAGGACCCCTGAACCGCGAAAAATTCATGTTAGCGGAGTAACATTCTTTTCAGAATCCTATGGTCAAGCTTGCACATTGTCTTTCAGAATCCTATGGTCAAGCTTGCACATTGTCCGACCACTTCTTGATGTTTGTTTTCATTTAGTCCTTCAATAGAAATGATCCTACTGCCCTCATACGGCTCGACCACTTTCTTGCAGAGGGCCATATACGATCATTTCTGTCGACTTGTCGAGGATTCCTCAACGCACGCTTGACCCTGCCTTGGAGAATCTCAACTAGGTGAGCCCAAGCTCTGAAGTTGGTTGCCCTGGGTAGCGGCTCCCTCTGTCACCACACCATCCAGACGGAATGACAAATTTTGAAACAAATACGAGCAGGACAGCTATTGAAGAATAGTTCCCAATGCTTCCGGTTAAGAACCGGTTATAGACGTACTTGGAAAGATATGTGAGCCACGTTCAATGGAAACCTTCCGGATTTGAGCAGCTGCTCCTGTTCTGCCAAACCTTCCTTGACATCGTTTGCTCAAAAAGATCTCTCCCTCATGGAACCTAGATCTTCGCACTAGCACCATCCTGATCATAAGAAGCTTTAGAGCTTGGAAACGCAAGACTACGGTAGAGCTGCGCTTTGCGCTGACCCATATATATTAGACCAGATTGGTCCCCCGGCAAGCGCCGGAACCTCCCTACCTTGCGTAAGCTTTCCCTTCTCCCTCCTCTCCTTAGGCTGCTTTCATAGTCTGCGGTCCGTGCGGTCCGTGCCGTCCGCGCCGTCCGTGCGGACCGCTCGGACAGGGTGAAAAACGTCAACACGCGCTCTGGCGCACAATTGCGTACTTGGCACGCAGTCGGCGCCTCCCTCGATCGATACCTCGATTTCGGTGCATTTCGTGCATTTTTCAATGTTTGTGAATATGTGTGCGTTCATTCATGTTTTTTAGTTGAGACTTCTTCATTCTTGCCTTAGTCGATATGTTTCGGTA